AGCAATGACCCTCAAAAGCGCAAGCGTGTGATAGACCCTGAAGGACCTATCCCTGGTGTCCCTGTCTTGGAAGATATACTCAAACCTGCTAGGTGAGGCAGTTCAGGATGTTTTTTTTTTTAAGCGTTTTCCAATTCAAGGAACAAAACGAGTACTAAATTTGAGTTTCTTGAAGATTGTTCTGACAAAAGAATCAAATATCTGCTGCTTTAGGTATGACCCAGTATAAGCAGTACTAAACCAACTTAACCACAAAAAAAGGATTGTCCATTTAGAATCATACTAGCTCCATATCCTAACTAAACACTCCATTTGTTTAGTCGTATTGTCAAGTTGTTTTAGTACATCTCACTTTAGGCCTTGCCTAGAGTGGCTGAGATTTGAGTCCTTTTTAAAAAAGATTGTTACCCAGCAGTATGATAGTGCTCTTTTTAATCTTAAATTGCCCATTGTCTTTATATTTGTCATTCTTATAACATCATAGGTGATACTATATTCATGACATAATTTACAGGGAAACTATGGGCATGAAGATCTTGCAGAAACTGGGATGGAGACCTGGCCAGGGTGTTGGCCCACGTGTAAAGAGAATAGAAAAGGTTAAGGCTCAAAAAGACAAGCAGAGGATGTATGGATGTCAGTTGCATTCAGGTAAGTTTTAAACAACATATAATCAAAATGCATTTTGTGAAAAGAGGAAAATTAGATACTACTACTTTGTATGATTACATGGTTAACCCAGTGCCCAGTTTCCCCTTTTTGCGCCCGTCTCAATCGGTAGTTTGCAAGCGACATTTAGCACCTAAAAGCTTTTATTTTACTATGATTTATAAAAAAATTAAAGTTTTGAAGGTTTGCCTAAAATCTTTACCATATAAATGAAGCCGCTCCTATCGGAGAAAAACAAACTCCGTCCGACGAGCCAGTGGCGCAGGAATGAGCATGATATGATGCCATCCATATTTCGGTCCATAACAGCCATGGCATGTACGTACATGCCACCCGTCGGCTAAGGGTTAATGCTGTTAACCTATTCCCACCAGGGATGACGTGCATTGTCATGTAGATTTAGTTTATTAGTTGTGCTTACACATTGATGGCTCTACAAGTGCATAATCACCAAGGAGTCAATTGATAGGAATTCTGCCCATCTTATTTGTTTACCCTTTTCCTTGATTTTCAAAAATAATTTATTTCATATAGATATTGGTATTGTTAATAACTTCACAATAATCATAATCTCAACAGTGATAATAACAGCATCAAAATTAATAGCATCAGAAAAAAAAATCAGAAAAATTAAAGAAAGGGTGAAATCAGATGAGGTCAACTTAGGCTTACTAATTGACTTATTGGCAACTATGTGCTTGTGGAGCCAAATATGTATAATCTTATTTCACAAAAAAACTGCAGTGGACATGACATGTTCCTAGCATCAGTGGGTTTAACCCACTTGTGCCAGGTGTCACACATAGGTAGCACCCGGAAAAATAAATATGGCCCGCTGTCCCACCAGTGTGATGCTAGATCGGAGCTTGCGTTCTGATTTTGTTTCCCGTGGCAAGCGGCGCGCAGGCAGGTTCCTAGACCGGCCCGCACACCGATTTTGATACTGCCAGGAAACAGGGATTTTCGCCTTCCAAATGGACCAGTCCTAGTAGGTTAACATGTGGAGCATCCATATCTAGCATATTCTGTGATTGTGTTTTTTTTTGAGGCTCCAAACTTTTGTAGCTATTACATGACATGCTTGTCTTTTATACAGTTGATACTTTTTTACCTTCAGTAGAATATAATTTATCCATACCATACTAGATGATAAGTATTAGGTCAATTTCAGGCATATGTGCATTTGTAAGTACACTATGATAAATAGATACTGATTATGAGATATAAATTCACTCTAAGTCATTGTAAAAAAGAGGTCTCAACAAGACAGTCCTTTCAAGTTCTTGAATGTATTTTCTAAAAGAGTTATTTCAAATGGAAATATTAAAAGCTATACCTCACTAAGGTTGGACCCTTTAAGCTGTACATGATAGAGAAGTAGACTTTCAGAAGGAAAGAAGTTACATATCTAGAAAAAAAAAATATATTTTGCTTTACAGATGTGGGAGAAGGTGATAAAGATGAAGATGGAGATGAAGATGTAGATTGTGACTCAGGGGTTACATATGCACCTGATGATGTTGAAACACTATATCTTCCCAACCCGAAACAAGACCAGTTTGGCCTGGGATACAAACCTCTTGACCGCACTCCTGTACTTGGAGGACACATAAATCTGTTTGACCCTTCTCCCCTCAGCATGAAAGAGAAGAAGAAGAAGGTTTTGATAAAGGGACAGGTATGGAGTTTGTTAACAAAATTGATGATGACTGTAGAGACCATAAGGTTTGTTTTCCTGCTTTTGGTAAGAGATTGCTGCTACCTGTAAGAAGTCTGAAGTCATATACTTGTTTTAAAATATATGAGAATTATTCATCAATATTTTCTTTCCAGGGTTCTTCTTTGATTTCTAATATTATTTATTGTTTGAGATGATGAAATGAAATGATTATTTGAGAAACCTAAGAAAAAGTCTGTTCTTTGATTTTTGATAGAAGGATTACAATATATGATACTGGCTAATTACACTGTTTTGTATTGGAAATTCAAGATGTGAATTTATTTAATCAAATATATCTTTTCTATATGTGTGTCCATATATATGAATATTGACTGGGTCATGCCAAATTAACAATTTGACTTAAGATTGATGATATTACAGGCATTTGGTGTTGGAGCTTTTGAGGATGAAGATGAAGATATTTATGCAACAGAAGATATGAGTAATTATGACTTTGGTGAAGAAAAGAAAGATGCTCAAAAGAAGAAAATGGGTCAGAATTTCCAGTCTCCAATGGTATTTATTTGCTCAGATTCTGTAGATGTTTTGCATTAAAAGTTAACTGATTTTATGATATATATATTAAACTAGGATTCATGCAAAAATAGATAGATATTGATTTTCCTTTTATTTTGTCTCCTCCACTTCTCAAGACTCTCTTAGGATTAACAGAAATGATTGAAGGTTTCAAGATAAGTAACAAGCCTAGCCAAGGCCACAAAATTTATCCAAGACCAAACCTGCCCAAAGACTTTAGTCCTAAACACCAACCAAGAAAACGGAGGTAAGATTGTCTTTTCGTTTCATTAAAGATATACATATTAGATTTAGGATGTTCTGTGTATTTGGAAATTCTTTCCTATTCCCAAAACACCAAAAGCTCTTTATACAATCGTGCTTCTAATTGATAACTCCAGCAAATTTTCACCTTTTGCTAAGGGCAATCTTTTCATGTATTTTTATGTACTTGCAGATATTTTTCTAATAAATTGTCAGGGCAACCAGAGACAAGACATTTATTTTATGCCAGAAAATGTGTTGTTTTTGTGCTCATATCAAATATTTATCAAAAAACAGGTCAAACAAATCTGAAAATAAGAAAATATGGCAGGTGTTGCTGACATGGGGTCGATAGGCATGGTTGACCAAAGGATAAGAAAGCACAATTTTCTAAACCAGAAAATGTCTGTCTTGTATTGGCTTATATGATAGATGTGCAATACAGTGAAAAGACAAAATTCATTCTAGAAGTAATGGAGAAGGCAGGTGGGTTAGGATGGGCAGTGGAGTGACAAGACAAGTCGAAAGAATGGATAAAGTGATCAGGGTGTGGAAGAGAGAATAGGGTGGCTATGGGTCCCTGAGATTTTGCATTTGCCAGAACGTAATTAGGTATTCTAAATCAATGCTTCTCTTCCATTTGGCTCTTGCAATACCCATGAATTGATTTACATATCTGAGGGTAATGTTGAATAAAAAAATATCCTATATTTTTACTAGCATGATGCAACTGCACTCAATTTTGTGACTTGATAATACATGAATTTGTCATGTACAGTTGCTGTCCAATGGAAGAAGTTTCTTTGTTTTGCATAAATTCCCAGTAACAAGTTGAAAAATATATTATCATGCCCTACATGTATACTAAAATGAACTCATTGTCACCAAGAATATGCACTGTTCACTGTAGTTTTGTTTTTTTTAATTCTGTGTACAAATGCAAGAACTTAGTCACCAAGAAGTCAGTTAAGAAGCATACATGGCCACACCCAATTTCCCCATCTCTTGAATTTTTTCCCCATCTCTTGAGTTTTTTTCCGATGCTATTATTAGCATTACTCTTACTAGTACTGTTATTTATTATTATTATTATTATTATTATTATTATTATTATTATTATTATTATTAATATTATAAATAACCTAATGCTATTAACAGTACCAATAGTATTAAGAAATTAGAACATCTTTCTAGACATCAGGGAAAGGGTTAAGCAGGTTAGAATAGGTAAGCTTAGTCATTGATGTCTTGGTGACTAAGTGCTTTTGGAGCCATCTATGCATAAATGAGATTAGTAAGCTAAAATCACAGTGGTCATAGTATATATATGCTTATACCCTCCCAGCTTCAATCTTTCTCCATTTTCTGTAGCTTCTGCTCAATCAGTGTTACTTGGCTTGTATGCTACATTTTGATTTTGTATTGATCAGTGTCACTCAGAGTTTAACTATAAGGTTTTAGTCCGGTAAGATATACTAAATGGTAGTTCACAAAAAGACATCAGATATGGACCTGTATTTAATAGACATTTATCAGAAGCACAATCACAACTCAGAACTTGCTCAGATAGTAGGACATATATGTAATGCTTTAAAAAGCAAATCCTTGCATTGCTATTACTTGGGAAAGTCTTGTTGCCACCACTAACAGCAGGATAGGCAAAGGTCATTGAGACCAGTTTGTTGGTTCAGACTTTTATTGTTTTGTGTCCAAAAAATCATTAATTATTGAATTAGTTTAGTGTTCAAAATAGGCAACTGGTCCTTTTAAATATCAGTGTAGGGGCTCAGTCTTGCAGAATTAATTGTGTAAATGTTTTAACTATTAATTTATATATCTTCTTCCTCTGCTTAAGTCTCTCCTTCCAAATTTCTTCAGGATAGCAGGGTTTTGTAGTTTTAGGTTTTTAATTTGATACTTGAAAAGATTTGTACCAATTTTCATCCTAGGAATATAATACAATGTCTTTGATAATGTTATTAAGGTTATTTATCTGGAAATGTTGAATGGGATTATCATATAGGCAAATCCAGAATTCATGGTATTTATTGGTTTGTTATCTATATATACAATGGGCTACCAGCAATCCTTTCATTTTTCTAGGCTATATGGTTAAGTATAGATAGTGTGGCAACCTCCTCTTATTGTATGCATGATAACTTTTCAGATTTGAGAGAAAGGAAAATGAGGTGCGAGGCCTTGGCAGACATGAAATGACACCAGAACAGCGAGCAAGACTTCTCTCAGATAAATCCAAAACAACAGTGGAGGTGAGATTGATAAAATTTAGTATGCTCATTCAGAAAACATTTTTCCATTACCTGTATTCTTTCCCAGTTCTGTGTCACTCTTTAATGAGAGGTAGGAGTCAGATTATGTGGTATCCAGATATCATGTTGTGTAAAGAACCTCTGAAAAAAAAGAAATATAAAAAAAATATGTATTTTTGGAATCCAGTGTTTGTAGAGTGTGTGTATCCCACAATGTGTTATCAGTGTGCTAATCAAAACTTGGAACACATACTTTCTTTTTACACTAAATGGCTCCAAAGGTGCATGGCCAACAGGAAGTTAATACCTAGGCCTACCTTACCTTAGTTACCTTACCTTAATACCATCCCCTGAATTTTCACAGGAAAAAGTTTTTTATTTATGTAACTATATCACAATTCAGTTATTGTTCTTACTATCATTATTTTTGTTATTGTTGTCGTTACTTTACCAAGAAAAGTATTGGGGTAAATAGATGAAGTTATGTAGGCCTGTTAGCCCATGAAGAGCTATTTGTAAAATGCTAATGCATTAATGGCCCAAGAAAGAACAATCAAAAGATTGATTGATTTCCTTTAATAACAGCATATGAACATACTAGGAGGGGAAGACTGCTATAGTAATATAACTTTGGGAACTGCCTTTTCCTCAGTATTTTACATTATTTAGTTTAGGTGACTAAATGCTAGTGATTGGATGCACACATTTTTTACCCTGCTTGTGTGCTTTTATCTGCTTATAAATTATTGATAATTGTACTGAGTTCACATGAGGAGAATGTTATGTCCAGAGTGATTATTTTATTTGATATTAAAATTATTGTTTATTCTGCCAGATTAGGTCAGGGGTGAAGAATGAGGTCAAGCAGTCACAACAACAGACAAAGGGTGATATTCATGATACCTCAGATATTGACAAAATCTATGAAGAATTTAAAACCGCTTCTATGAAGTCTTCTGAATTTAAACCATTTGCAAGAAACTCTGAAAAGCAACGCCGTTATGAACTGTTCCTCAGGATGAAGGAAAGAGGCCAGAAAGGTTGGTAATTGTTGTTATATTTGGGTAAAATTCATTGTTAGAATGTTTAAATGGCACCACCTGTAGTTGTAGTCATAAAAACATTAGGGACATGCATTGTTTTTTTAAAGCTAGAACTGAGTATTAAAGAAATTAGATCCCTTTCAAAACCATCAGTATTCAGCCTGTATGATTGAAAAAATACTAGGTTCTGCTGCAGAGAGCTTTGCTCAGTAGTTACTAGCCCAGGGATAGTATGGCAATATTATTTGATGTGTACTATTGTTTCATTTAAAGAAATAATGTGCTGGGACCATGTAGATCATATTATTTGTTTGGAAGAGGGGAATGACAGAGTGGGAACGTGAGCGGGAGATATGTGAGTTTAACAGAGCAGCACAACTCTTTCAGCCTCTTACATCTACCATGGCCAACAGGTATGCATTTGGGGAATTCAGGCTCCAGTTATAGGGGAATTCAAGGCTCTCATCTCTGTTATAGGCTGTCCCATTTTGAGGTAGCAGGATAAGGGAATTTGTGTTAAGATGAATATAAGCATGTTGTAATACCTCTTCAAATACAGCTGTAAGAGTTCATCTGTTCATTTCTTTAAAAACAAATTTTGCTTATCTAAACCCCAAAGATGGAATAATTAGATGATGAATATTATCAGTGGCAGTATTATTGTTAGGACTGAGAAAATGGGAAATCATCACTCAGTGCCAGAAGTGTGTTGATATTTTGGTACATTAAATACGAAGGAAAATTATTTTTCTTGAGAAGCACATTCTACTTCATACTCACTCCTAGTATCTTTGCCTTAATTAATATGTTTATGCTATCAGCATAAGGTTGCACAAGAACAACTACCATATGTACACTTCAGTGATAGGAGAATATTTTGAAGAACTGGAAAATTGCAGGGATTGTTAAGTTCAGATTGATTTACTTTAATGAATGAGCCAAAATTCTCCTGAAAATGTAAACTCACAGTAGCTGTAGAAAGGAGAAAACAAGTAAATTATAATGTTCAGGTATGGGAGTTCATCTAGTAAAAAAGGTAATGAATTGTCAACATATAATAATATTCAGGACTGAAAGAAACCTAACTAAACAAATAAGAGAAATTAGTAATACCAGTTAAAACAAGTCATGATGACATTATACTTCTTTGCAATTTGGTACAGATGCTGTATTCAGGAAGACATAGTTGCATGGCATATCTGTTGACGCTGTACTCTCTAATACAGTGTTATACCTGCAGGTTTGTTACGGCAGCCACATCAGATACTGGACCTGTGCTGAAAGATGGATTGAATACAGAAATCCCAAAGGTGGGTCATTTGTTATAACTAATTTTAGAAAAGTCAAGGTGGGAATTATTATTTTACAAATATCTTTTTCCTTTCTTCTTCTACTATGTAAATTATTTGACACTGCTATGATACTGAACAAGAGAATTGTATTTCCAGTGGTATATATTTGTTCAGTTTCTATAGGTATTGTGATGTTATACTGTTAACTATGATGTTATAATATATGTAGTTAGAATTCACTTTGCACTTACTAAAAATTAACTTTCACACAGATTGAGTCAGTAACTGAAGAAATAGAGATTGACACACTTGGTGGTAATGTTGCTGATGAACGAGTAAAAGCTGCCAAAATGAACATGTTTGGCAAACTCACACAAGTCACTGTTGACTGGCATCCTGACCGTTTGCTCTGTCGGCGCTTCAATGTCCCAAACCCTTACCCAGAGTAGGTGATCCTCGCATTTTTATTATCTTTATCATTATTGATTTATTTGTTTTATTTATTTTGATTTAGTTAGTTATTTTTATCTTATTTTTATTTTATTTTTATGTGTGTAATACCTTGTTATCCAAATACAGTGTAATTGATATACTAATGCATTTTAAACTTCTTTAACTTTTGTAAAACAGGTCATCATTTGTTGGTGTCCGTAAGACTACAGGAGAAAAACTGTCCATCTTTAATGTCTTAAACGCACCTGTGGAAGACACAGCAGGCCTTCAGTCTAAAAGATCCCAAACTTTTTCAAAATCCGACGAGGACGATCAGAGTGAAGACGACGATGATGATGATGGTGATAGTTATGATGATAACAAACCAGAGACATTTGGTCTAAAGGTAAGTTAGACTAAATAGAGTATCTTATATGAAATTCTTTTTTCAAGAGAGGTTCTTATGGTATTATAAGAATTTACCGAGTACAGTTCAGAGTTACTCTGTATACCATCTAGCTGCTACTCACATTTATGATTCAGTTTTCTTTTCTTTGTCTCTTTCTTTAATTTTCTTTTGTATTCTCCCCTGCTTTCAGGTCCCAGTGGATGGACCACCAACAATGGACCTGTTTAAGGCTATTTTCCAAGACAGTGACTCAGAGTCAGATGATGAAGAGAAAAATGAAGCAGAGGGAGAAAGTGATGCAGAAATGTCAGAAGTGAAAGAAGAAAACACACAAAGCTCTTTTCAGTCATCTTCTAGGTCTTCAAAGGAAGGGAAGAGTAATGATGTTAATAATCCTGTAATGAGATCAGTGACTGAACTTGTGTCTTCAATAAGGGGTGAAGTGAATAGCAGTGTAAGTAAAGAGGAGGAAGTTGGTGTGAAAGATCCTAAGAAGAAAGTTAGGGTCAGTAGGTTTGAGCCAAAAGAAGAAGTCAAAAAAGAAGAGGACATCCCACCCAAACACATTTTTATACCTCGCAAAAAAGTTTCAGAACCTATTGAAAGTCAGCCAGCAAAAGGAATATTTGCAAACATTGATTTTGAAGCTTTAAACAGTTATAGAAAATTAGATCCAGATACTAGCAAAGCCCAGACAGATAGCATAAGTGATGATGGAGGTGCTAAGGAAGCTATAGAAAGGAAGGACAGTGATTCATCTATTGACTCTGAGGATGAATATGGACCCCCCATTCCATCCCACCTTAAGAATAGGAATCAGATGATTAGGTCGACCCCTGTGTCCGTTACCCTCCCAAAAGATGTAGCTACAAAGAGTGCCAGTAAAAATTCTCCATGGATTGTCAAAGAAGTAAAGAGTAAGAGTTCAAAGAAGCACAAACACAAAGATAAACATAAGCATAAAAAAGAGAAGAAGAAGAAGAAAAAGCAGAAGGAAAAGAAAAAGAAGCACCGCAGAAGGAGCAAGAGTGATTCAAGTACAGACTCATCTGACAGTGATTAAATTTTAAATTATGCAAATAGTTTTTCCTTTATAAGCCTCTGTTCTGCTTCTATCTACCATTATAGATATATTGAGATTTTATGGTATTTTATGATAAAGAATAGAAGAAAAATCAATTTGGAAAATCCTTTCAGATTTCTAGAGTTTGGGGAAAGAAACTACTTATTTTTTCTTTTATATCTCAAAAAATATTTTGAAACATAATTGAATTGCCATTTTGAATAATTTCAGATTATACCTCTAAATATTAGCTGTGTAAAGTTGATGAAAAATAAGTCAATCATTCTTAAATTCTGTATGATCAGAAGATTAGTTCCAGAAA